AAAATAAAATATAAAATAATGTGATTATATAAAGGTTGTGATTATATAGGGGGTGATTATAAAGAGGTATGACTGTATATGGTTATAACATTAAATATATCTCCTGAGAGGTGGTATGATTTTTGTAACAATAAAAACATGTTATTTGAAGCATTAGATAGACGTTTAGATACTATTGTTAATTATCGAGGTATATATTCTATTAATAACAGGAGTATTCCTAGTAGTTATATTAGTGATATATTACATGGGAATATGGAGTTTACTAGTGACACGTGTAGTAGCCAATCATTTGTAGATAGTTTATAAATGTTGTTTTGATGTAAATAAAATAAATTATGTGTCTTGTTTTGTGTTACTTGATTTATATATAAATATACCTCCTGTTTGTTGATGCCCCTGCAAAATCCTTATGGCTTATTATCCTACATACCGTCATTGTAACTATGGACAGTATCGAAATTATCGTTCACGATTTAATAAAAACTATCAATATGGTAATTATAAGCGTAGGTATGCTCGTCCATATTATCAGAAACGTTTTAACTATCGTAGGCCATATTTTAATTGATATGTGAGAAGAACATATAGGAAAAGGTTTAATCGTAAAAGGTAAATGTCATATTTGACTTACATGACAGGATTATGTATAACTCTTTGTTATGTTTTGATAGCGTTTTCGCTATATAGTTAATTGTATATGATAATGATGTTAGTCTTTCTGATCAGACTGAATCATATGCTGTCCTATATGGACTTTTGGCTAATCTCTTACATGTTTGTCAAAAGATATTATTCTAGGAAACAATATTCGAAGAAGGGATATGTTCATAAGGCTATTCTTGTTACAAAAGTTATTAATTCAAAAACTTTTGTCTCTCAGCCAGTTATTAAGAATTATATAGCAGAACATCAATGGAGTATTGATTCTATATTCCATTCATTGCTTGTTACTAATGCTCATATTGGTACTGCACATAAAGTATATATAAAAGGATTCAAGATTAATTTGATTCTTGTTAGAAACTCTTCAATCTGGATTCCTTCTCTTTAATATAATCAAGATCCAGAGCAGCTTTAGGATATGGTGATAAAGATACATATAGCAGTATTGTCATTTGCAATTCCTTATATTAATTATCAAGTTGGTGAAGTTTTTAATGAGGTTCTTGCTAGACGTGCAGATCATAATCCAATGAAGGGAAAGTTTAATCATAAGATGCATATGATAAAAGATTTTATTTTGTTTCTTAATTTTAATCGAACATCTTATATGTATAATAAGTATATATCAGTCAATAGATATATCGATTATGAGATAGACCAAGGAAATGCTGATTTGTATATAGCATGTGCTACTCGTTACTTTATGATATTTATATATATTGAAGGGCCACCTGATGTACATAGAATACAGAATGTTTAAGTTGTAATATCAGAAGTGCAGTATACTATATATTATGGTGCATGTGTTTGTCAAACTAATGATAATGATATCACATATGTTGGTGATAACTCTAATAATAATAATTCCGATGCTAATTATAATATGGAAGGAAATTTTGATTAAATAAAAAATAAATAAATAAATATTATTTGATTTGTGATATAAACAAGGTTACCCTTGACAAAGTGATTATATAAAATGTGATATCTAGTATTATTATTGAGTTACTGTGCAAAAGTGCCCCCTTTATATAAAGCATAAGCCAGTAAAAAGCTATACAACTGGTACAGATCATACATGTGGTCGTATTACCATAAAAGGAAATTTGATCGACAATACGATTCCGAATTAAATACGAATTCCAATTATTTACTATATGTTACTTAGTAATTCTACCATAATACGGTTTTTGAAAAATGTCCGAATTCAATTCCACCACATGTATAGTACAGATTAGATTAGCCACTGGCTAGGCCATCATGAAGCAAAATTATGTTGCTTTGTAGCAGGGGTGGCACAGCCCCCTGCTAGAGGGACTATGACATAATTTTTATATATACATTTAGTTTTAATATTGTTATTACATCATCTCAAATGAGATGGGGTTGGGGGGTCCATCATCGATGGATGGTCACATCACGTGACCCAGTATTACCAAAATTCATATGTTACAAAAACTTCGAATCTCTGCAATCTCTGAGATCTAGCCTACTCTAAGCGATTGGCAAAATCTAAGGGGGCCAAATTTCAACTAAAAAAATAAAATAGATTCAGCATTTGGGACTTATGACCGAATAGACTTGCTTTACATGGTGGGATCTAGATTGCATTACCCTACCGCAATACTAATGTAACTTTTTTTCTAGCAGGTTTTTTAGATCTAGCGAATGGACGGTATAAAAATAAGCGATTTTTTTGTCTTGTAAAGGTGGGTATTAATAACTTTTTTTTTTGTTTGTGTATAATTTTTTTACCCGACCATAGTTATTTCTTAAAGTAATGAAACATTTTATCTAACGGAGACTATGAAACGATTTTTTACTTACTATAAATTTTTGTATTTAGAAACGAAAAATGAGCAGTAATAAAAAAACCACCACCCCTTAGAACAAGAAAAACAAGACCCCCAACCATTCAAAACGACAATTTTTATCTTGTAAGTAGACTTCGTGCCGTGTTAGCGCATTCACACTGAAATATAAAGTTTTTATTTTACTAAAAATTAGATAATTATACTTGGGAAAAAATGTCAAAAGAAAACTTGGAACGTGATAGGGACAATGATGATAATGATTGGATAAATTCCGGTCAGCGACAGAATATGTTAGATCAAATGTAAACCCCACTAACATAGTCCATTAAGGGTGCCTCTTTGAGGCGTATGTTTTTTTTATTATATAGTAAAAATACTTTTATTTGTATATTTTCGTTCCGGCATTAATTTTATAAATAAAGAAAGGGGTCTGGTGACCTCATCATTTTTTATTTAACACGATTTTTGATGACTTTTATCTATTATCACTTACCTATTATTTTAATACAGTAATAAATACAAAATTTTGATCGTTAAAAATGAAGATATCTCTAAAAGAATTTTTTTATTATTGCAAAAATAAGTGAATGAAGGATGTACCTAATGTATTTGCCTATTGTTTCTTGATTTTTTAGTTGATGATTCATCGCCGGAAGTTTGCATTAATTGCAATAGGAGTCATATCAGCCAGTTGCGAGACGCACTCATCACCCGCCAGACGCACTATTGGGCTAGCAAAAGGCCGGATATTTTCTCCATCTCGTACATCCACCGGGACGCACCCATCACCCGCCAGACGCACTATTGGGCTAGGTGGAGACAAGAAGTTTATGCATCATGCGAAAACCTAATAAGATAGAGTTACTAAAGCAGTCTCGTAAAGTTTCCGAGTTCCGTTGAGATAAAAAAAAAACAGTGGGATCAGGGAGATTATCTTATGAGTTCTGTCATATTGTCACGTGCTACACGTGATAAATGTATTCGCGTTTCTATACCCTGATGAAACGCGTTATCTGAGAGACAAATAGACTTCAATATGGATTGGGTCCCCCCAGAGTTTCTTAAGAACAGTGTTGACAATTATTTCTTTGTAAATATGTGGTGCGACTGGTCACTTATTGGATTTATTGAGACTAAGAGAAGTCAAATCCTTGCTGACCTTCAAAAGGTAGCTGTGCATCATTCATATAAGAAAGATTTACAATCGATCCTGGAGGCAGAACCGCCCGACGACGTCTCCTTCGCCATTATGAAACAACTAACACAAAAAATAACAGAAAGTGAAGAAGTCAAATTGTTCTGGAAAACAATAACTGCTGAGAAGAAATATAGGGAACAGTTAACTAATATCAGAGCCAGTGCTTCATTTGAAAGTGTAAGTCTGTGTGTAGAGTTGTTAATGGAGTACTCCAGTTTCAAACCGGAGTGGTTTATATGTTTTATTATAGTTTGGAGTACTCCATTAACAACTCTATCTGTGTGCTTGCATGTGTTTTTTCGATCACATTGCATTAATTTAGAAACATTTCCTTTTAGGATGTTCTCAAGATTCGTGGGAAAAGATTTGTTGAAGAAATTGATGATGTGGCTCGACGAGATGTAAAGAGAGTGGAACTTGGAAATGACAATGAAGATATTAGTACACCCACTAGAATTAAATAACATTTTGGACAGGAAATCATGAACAAGCTAACAACCAAACAAAACAAAAGTTAGAATTGTTCTCAACTCCTCATAAACCGATTCTTACACCACATAAGTTTAGTATGATATCTCTTAAAGTTATCCCGGGGTTTAAATCCCTTAAAAATATTCTTAAAATAAGATATCCTGAGATAGTAAACGAGATAGAAACTTATGAGGAAGAACAGAAAAGGCTAACTAGCCTAGGAACAACTCTTAAGGTATGGCTGGGAAAAATTTTATCATCAACCACTCCAGAGGAGTTATATAAATGCCTTATGGAGCAATTGCAAGGCGAAAATATCACAGACCGAGACAAGAAATTACATGAAATATTTGAGTTAACGTGAAAGGAATTTTATTTAATGATTAAATACAATCCAAAACATGATCTCGTAAGACATAATTCGGAGAGAAAATTCCTCGTTGAAAGGGTGTCAACACCTTTTAAACTCGTTGAATATGTGTTTGGAACCATTACGACATACTGGATTGAAAAAGAAATAATGTCAACAAAGGCAACAGAGTTCGTAGATAACCCAATTGGTGAGCCAGTATCCAAAAAAGCTGATGCACTGGCCACAGATCTTACACATAATATAGACGTGATGAATATGGAATCATCAGGAGGTCCCTTTCAACAAGATAGAAAACATACTCTCGAGGATTCAGAAAAGATCTCAAATACTGGAGTAAATATTCTTCTTACAAGTCTCCGAAAATATCTTGGTGCTAGTATTGAGACCGCCAAGAAACTTAAAACATTCAATATTCAAATCGTTGGTATGCAAATTATTTCTTATATTATATATATACTGATATATTGATATTGATATAACAATTTTTGTAGAAGATCGAATCATGCTAATGGAAGTATCTCTTTACAAACCACGGATTTGCAAAGAGATCGAAGTCAGAAGCGCCGTCTTTCCATTTGCTTTATCCTCCATAGGAGAATATATGCGTATTTTTGAGCTCAACGTATTATGTGGTATGTTATTCTGTCCAATCCTATCAAAGTAAGTGATTAACTTTTGTGCATATCTAGGACGAACTTCTCAAGCGCCAAGAGGTCATACGAGAGTTGTCTAAAGAAACTAATGGAGTAAAGGAGATAGAGTAACTTCAGAAATATTTTCGGATTGGTGGAATAAGACTTTATAATAATCTGCTATCTACAAACAACCGAAATGGTTGCGTAATAGTAGCCTATCAGGCACCCGATTTGTCACATCTAAATTTTTATCATATGATTTTCATAAGTAGCACAAATTTACAAAATTACATTTTTTAAATTTTTTCGAAAATCTGAACCTAAGTATACACTAGTTCTTAAAACAAAATCAGTGCTGAGGTTTTTACAAGTCAAACAATGCAAAGAACGTAAAAATTGAACCACTCCTTATGAAATACTATTTTCTTGAAGATAGGCAATTATTTTATATATTTTCATCAAATCCTATTCAGGTTTTCAAATTTATAATATAAAAAGTGAATTAGTAGATGCATCCAAGTAAGAGCTTTCGCCAAAATGCATCTTTGAAAGGTGGGTTTATTATGAACATAGTGAAGAAAATCAAAGAAAGCTGTTTTATAGTACTCATTAATTAGATATCTTTGTAATATGGATGTCAATCACTCCCCCGTGATCTGCGTGACAAATCGGGTGCCTGATATAAGATATGTAAGACGTGTAAGATTACGTAATATACACAAGCGAACGCGTTATCTCTAATATAAATAGGTGAGG